CAACATGATAAAACCCTGTCTCTACTAAAAATAAAAAGATTAACCGGGTGTGGTAAATGCCTGTGCTCACAGCTACTCAGGAAATCGAGGCAGGAGAATCACTTAAACCTGGGAGGCAGAGGTTGCAGTGAGGTGAGATTGCACCACTGTACTCCAGCCTCAGCAACAGAGCAAGGCTCAGTCAAAAAAAAAAAAAAAAGTATCTATTTGAGCTGCTATAACAAACTAATATGGACTACTAGATGACTGAAGCAATGATTAGTGCCCACAGTTCTGGAGGCTGGGAAGTCCTAGATCACAGCACTGGTAGATTTGGTGTCAGGTGAGTGTTCACTTCCCAGTTCACAGACGGTGCTTTCTTGCTGTGACCTCACATAGTGGAAAGGGCAAGGGCATTCTCCAGGGCCTCCTTTCTAAGGGCACTAATCCCATTCATAAGGGCTCCATCCTCATGAACTAATCACCTCCCAAAATTCCCATCCTCTACTGCCATCACCTTGAAGGTTAGGATTTCAACATAGGAAGAGTGAGAGGACATAAACATTCACCCTATAGCAGCAAGGAAGAGGAGAATCATGATACACAAGTCAGGTATTTGTCTTAAGTAACTCTAAATCTAAACTGTGCACCCCAGCCTTCCAGACCCTCCATAATCTAGTCTTATCCTGCAGTGGTTCTGTTTCCCAGGGAATCAATTCTAAAATGTCCAGCCTAGGTTCCAAAATAAGCTAAGCAGGCAGACTAAAATGAGCCTCACTGTCCTGGAGGCAACACGATCACCTGTGGTGGCCACGTCACTCTCACGTCCACCAGGGCCAAGCCCCTATGAAGGTGGTCAATCCTCAGGGCCCCCGGGCCTCATCTCCATTTTTGGAATCCAATTACAAAACATTGCTCTGATCTTGTTCCAGAGAGCTGATTTATGCCCCAGCTAAGAGAAAATGAACCAAAAATATTGTACCCATTTGTTCGAGCTGTGGATGGTTAAACAGGGTCACCTCTCGCCTGCCAACTGGCCTGGTCCTCTCAGCTACTCTGGCACCTGCTGAAGGCAGCTGGATTTGGCAGGTGGCCAGGCAGGTCAGCCCAGCCAAGAGGACAAAGTCCAGACTGTGAACCCATGGAAATGCCAACCCAATGCCCCTTGGAGGCCCCCAGGGTTTTCTGAGTCCAATACAGACACACACACACACACACACACACGTGCCTAACAGTTTATGAGTTATGAATGGAAAAATCTTCCTAGTCCCCAGTTTTTCTTTCTTTCCCAGCATCTTTTCACCCAGATGGTGATGTCTGGGCTTTGCCAGAGCTAGCACATGCAGGGATCTCTGGTCAGAGAAACTCCAGAAAAAATGTCCTTCCTCTCCATCTGGGTGGGCACTAACGCACAGCCACCCAAAAGGCAGGTGGGGAAGTCAGGTACGTATAAATGCAATACAAGATTTGTGCTCTGCTTGGGCAAGTGCCAGAAAAACACAGAAAAGAAGGGACTGATTCTCCAGAGTGAAGTATGAGGGCTTCTTGGAGGAGGTGACTGACATGAACCTCAAGGGATAAATAAGAGCCTAACAGAGCTGCAAAAAGCAGAAAAGCTTGTGCCAAAGGATAGAGGCAGGAATAAATCTGACTGATTATCAAGCACCTGCTGGTGCTCAAAACCCCAGGACCGGGCCTATGTGGCCTCCAGGCCATGACCTCATTTCCAGCGCTTAGGGACAGTGGTGGCAAGCTTTGCTCTGCCTCCCCCACCTGGGCAGCATTTCCAGTCTGCTCCAACAGCTCCCTACAGACCACCGTCAGACCTCCCCAGGGATATTCCTAACATCCCTTGTCCAGGGAGGACCCATGTGGGGGAAACTGTGGCAGGTAAAACAGTAGGAAGTGAGGTTTCTAGAGACTGGAGGAGCCAGAAGAAATGAGCGGGGCAGCTGGGCTCTGCTCCTCCCTCTCCAGAAATGCCCTGCGAGGGGTTGGTCCTGTCTCCTTCCTGCGAAGCCGGTCATTCTTCACCCACTGCTGCCCACCCCTGCTGAAGCCCGGGATGCATGCACAGCCAAGTAAACAGCGGGGCCGGCAGTGGGGGCATGAGACTGTGCATGCACCATGCTCCCTGGGCTGGAGCACAGCCTTCTCCCATGAGCCGAACTGAATAACCCGATTCTCAGGAAGGTATGTCAGAGAAGCCACTCAGAAGAAGGACTTGCATACTCTGTGGGGACAATGTGTGAGCACAGAGGGTAAGAGAGACAGAGGGGGATGCATAAGGGAGGGGGAAGGAAGAAACCCCCTTTTCTCTCTCCATCCAACAGTTCCATCCACCATCCCCCAATTCCTACCAGTTGCCTACAGGCACCCTTCAAAGGCCGTCTCCTCCATGGCGCCCTCCCGCCTGCCCTGGCAGTCTACCTAAGGGTGAGAACCACTCTCTGTAGTCCATCGTCTTAGGAAGCAAGGCTACGCAGTGGAATTAACCAGGGGTCAGGAGGCTAAGTGTAGGTTTGGTTTCCAGTTATGCCTCCTCTAAGTGGGTGACCTTGGGCAAGGTTCTCATCTGTAACGAACATAGGTTTTTCATCTGCCAGTTGAGACTTGCTCATAGTACCTCCCAATATCGAAGGGATTAAATGAGATATTTGTAAAGTCCGAGAACGTACTTCTCTAATACATGCTTCATTTTCAAGTGCACAGCTCACCTCCTCCCCTACATTGCAAGCTCCAGAGGGGAAGTTTTGTGCTTCATCCCACCCCCATCACACAGCGCTGGGCACGGGGGTGGGGGGGGCTCAATAAATGCCCTTTGGAAATCACAGCTTATCGAACAACAGAGAGGAAAAGGAGGCAGAATCCTGGGAAGGGTGCTTTGACCCCCCAGGCTGGGCAGGAGGCTGAGTCCCATCTTTCTAATCTAGTTGTAAAGCGCTTGTGTTCATTATTTTAACAGTTATTCGTGATCAAACGATTTGGTGTTAATGTGGATCTAATGTATAAATCCATACGGGTCCCACAGTCATTTAGCATTAATTAAACGAGGCCATTCTAAGGCTGAGATTCCACTGGGTTTATTGCGCTTAGCAATGGCAGAAACCACTGGGCCACTCTGCTTTCTCTCTGCTCCTGTCTTGTCGCATTTACCTCTGGAGAGCAGGGGCAAAACAGGCTTGAAGCTACCCTGGGACAGAGGGTGGGACATAGGGAGGACCCTGCCTAGGGTGTGGAAAGATGACTGACAGGTGGGAAGTCCACAGAGGCCCAGCTTGCAAAGAAGAAATAAGGGTGGCATTAGCATACCATGGGCCTGGATGTCGGAAGAACAGGATTTTAGTCCTGCTGTGCTGCTGATGATCAGCTGTGCGGCCTCATGCAAGACACTTCCCTTCTCTGTCTTCATCAGCTAATGAAGAAGCTTGGATATGCCAACATCATTCTCTCTACTTGGAATGCATCTCTTTAAATGGCTGCTCCTTTCCATCTTTCACATCTCAGCTCACAGGATGGCTCCTCCAGAAGAGATAACCAGCCTCTGTTACCACCACTCCCCACCACCCAAGCACCCTGCAGCACATCATCTCTTTCATTTTCTTAACGGAACTTACCACTGTCTTAATTATCTCTGCATTTGTACCCACTTGTTCCTTTGCATATTATCTCTGGTGACAGCGGGAGGAGTCCCCACTGTCATCTCCACATGATCAAGGGCTTCATATGTCTTATCCATCTCTTTAATACCAATTCAGTATGTGGCATATGGTGGGGCCTCAAAAAAATATGCCCATCAGCTGAATCATTAGGTGATCACTAAAACCCCTCCAGGATGGCACTCAATGGTGCCCGACACCCAGAAAAGGGTGGTATAGGGTGCATGAGAGTGGGGCTCATTCAGGAGAACTTGAGGGAAAAGGACAGTCAAAGCTGGGTTCTGGGGGACAGAGGAAAGCCAGCCTAGAGAAGGGGGAAACATGGATGTCATCTTAAGCAGGTAGGCAGACAGGAGCCACAGTGGTGGAGAGCTTCAAGGCCCTGAAGCTGCTACACCTTCAGGCTCCCAGCCAAGACCATTTGGTGAACTCTATTAATAATCACAATACAGAATCCCTTGTGGACTGGAACAATTTCTCTTCCAAGGCAGTGACATGCATATCACTTCACTTTATTCTCCTGCCATCCCCTTGATACAGGGGAGGAGAAAATATCTCCTTCTGTTTATATGTATAAAATTAATAACAATAATTGCCCATTTGTATAGTACTTTCCCATTTCCAGGACAGATATTGTTATACAGGAATGATAGTGTTTATCCCCAAGTTGCAGAGGCGGAGACTCAGAGAGGTGAAATGACTTGTCCAAGGTCAGTCATAGAGTATGTAGCCTGGAAAACTCAAGCCCCAAACTCCAAATTTTTCAACTACCCAATGGTCATTTTTCCAGATAAGGAAACTAACAGACAGAGAGAAAGTACATGGCTAGTTTATGAGAGTTCCCCACCTACACATCCAGCGGGCCAAATTATTTGTAGGTCAGGATTAGGCATGAGGACGGGGGAAGGAAACAGTGCCCCTTTCAGACCTGAGCATGGAGATGGAGATCACCCGGAATGAAAATGTTCATTTTTACAGTTCAGGGAGAGACTTCTTATATTACAAAATTCTGGAATACTCAACTGAAAATGATATTGGAGATATCTATGATAACTATGATCCATCATACCCAGGTTTAATGGATGATCCCTTTTTTTTTTTGAGTTGGCATCTCACTCTGTTGCTCAGGCTGGAGTGCAAGTGGCATGATCTCAGCTCCACCTCTCAGGTTCAAGCAATCCTCCTGCCTCAGCCTCCCAGTAGTTGGGATTAGAGGCACTGGCCACCATGCCTGGATAATTTTTGTTTGTTAGTAGAGGCAGGGTTTCACCATGTTGGCCAGGCTGGTCTCAAACTCCTGACCTCAGGAGATCCACCCACCTGGGTGCTGAGATTACAGGCGTGAGCCACCACACCTGGCCTCAGTTCTCTCTTCTAAGCTCTTTATCATCCTGATTTCTGATGTAAAAAGCATGACGCCATGCACAAAATGGGCCTTCAATGAATAACCGATGCAGGACCAGGCACTGAATGCAGGTAAATGAGGAGGATCAGGGCAGTAAGTCAATAGCCGTTGGCACTCAGCCTCTTTGGCGGGGGGCGGGGGGTGGGGTGGGGGGGTGGGGTGGATACAATAGGGAACAGGGGGGACTGCGGCAGGTTAGGAGAGTGTAAACCCTGTGTGAGGGGAGAAGGATTGCCGTCAATTGTTGCCATGTGGACATGCAGGCCCAATGTTACCAATTTTTACAATTTTCGAAGGGCGGTCAGAAGAGTGAATCTCTATCAGAAATTCTAGAATTTTAGATGTGGGCACTTTAACACACTGTATAGGTCAAACAAAATATGTCTAACAGCAAGTTTCTTTTAACAGCTTTGTTGAGGTATAGTTGACATACAAATAACTGTACATAGTTAATGTGTACAACTTGGCAATGTTGGACATATGCAAACACCCATGATATCATCACCACAATCAAGGTAATAGGCATATCCAACACCTCCCAATGCTTCCCGTGTTCCTTTGGGTTGGTTTGGTTGGTTTTTTTGTTTTTGTTTTTGTTTTTGTTTTTGTTTTGTGGTAAGAACACTTAACATGAGATCTTAAGCAATTTTGAAGTACACAACACCAGATTCTTAACTCTAAGCGCTATGCTGTACAGCAGATCTCTAGAACTCATTCACCCCGCAGAACCGAAACGCTACATGCATGGAACAACAACTCCCCATTTGCCTCTTCCCCTAGCTCCTGACAATCGGCTCCAAGCCCTAGGTGCTGTCGGTGCAGCCAACTGTTTTCTCTGCTGCTCTGAGTTTGACAATTTCTAATATGTCATGTAAGTATTTGTTCTTCTGTGACTGGCTTATTTCACTCACCATAATGTCCTCCAGGTTCATCACGTTGTTGCAAATGACAGGATTTCCCTCTTTTTCAAGGCTAAATAATATTCCACTATGTCTCTACCATGTTTTCTTTACCCATTCATCTAACAGCAAGTTTCTATCCCTTGTCCATTGGTTTGACACTTGTAGTTAAGTGAAGAAATTAACCCTGTTCAAAGCCTTCATGTGAAGACGGGGCAGCTGGAAGAGTAAAGCCATGTTCCTAAGGTCATAAGCAATTAGGGGCAAAGCTTAAAGTTTCCAGATTTCCAAGCCAGTTCTTAAACTGTTGATCCAGGGACAAGGTCAGTGAGGGGGATTGTGTCTATGAAGACCCATTAGGTTTGGGGACACAACACCACATAGTTTGCCATCCTGAATCCACACATTCCATCCAGCCCAAACCCAGGCCCAGAAGCCAGGACCCATTGTCCCACATGGGCTGAAAGGCCTTCCACCGAAGAGGCACAGACGGCAGCACCTCCCGGCCTCCCTCCAACCAAAACCTTGGAAGAGCCCCTCACGCCCTCCCCTGTGCCCCATCCTCAGGCCACTTAGCATGCAGCACTGTGGCACAAGCCGGCTGTCACTTAGGCACTTACGGGCAGAACCGTGGAAAAACCAAACCACTGTTATTACACTTAATAACCAGTTTCCACATCATCAACTCATTGGAGTCTGACAGGCGCTGTTAGGGTGTCAGCTCCCTCGGCCTAACAAGTCAGCACCAGCGGGGTGGTGGGGAGCACCAGGCAGGACTGGGCGCCAGCCTCCCATGAGTTATTCCATCCCCCTCCTGCCCCACTCAGAGGACACACACCCAAGGGCAGCCGACGCTTCCACCCACCTCTGCCCCCACACACTCAGGAGGTTAGTGGCTGCACCAACAATATTCAGGGTTGAGAGAAGGATCAGAACCCCAGAGAAGAGCACTCAGGGCCCTGACTTGTATCTGAACAGGAGGAAATAGCCCGGCTTGGCAGAGTAGAGGCCAAGGGTTTTGAAGGAAGAGAGTCCAGGACTGGGACACCTGGTTGGATCCTAGCTCTACTGTGTGTCCCTGAGTAAGATATTCCATCTTCCCAAGCTCCTGCTTCCCCACCTATGAAAGGTGGTACCCCAAAGGGTTCCTTGGAAGGCAAGCATAGTACCAAGCATAGCATCCATGCCCAATAAATGATGGGTACCACTGAGCTATTCCAGAATGAAGATGAGCAAAGGGTGGGGATCCTAAGAGGAGGAGATAGGACAAGCACAGGGGCTATTAGAAAGTAAGACCACTGGCCAGGTGCAGTGGCTCATGCCTGTAATCCCAGCACTTTGGGAGACAGAAGCAGGCAGATCACAAGGTCAGGAGTTCAAGACCAGCCTGACCGAAATGGTGAAATCCCGGCTCTACTAAAAATGCAAAAAATTAGTTGGGTGTATTGGCATGTGCCTGTAAGCCCAGCTACTCAGGAGGCTGAGGCAGGAGAATCACTTGAACCCAGGAGGCGGGGGTTGCAGTGAGCCGAGATCGTGCCACTACACTCCAGCCTGGACAACAGAGCAAGAATCTGTTTAAAAAAGGAGGGGAGACGGGAGACGGGAGACGGGAGACGGGAGACGGGAGACGGGAGACGGGAGACGGGAGACGGGAGACGGGAGACGGGAGAGGGAGAGGGGAGAGGGGAGAGGGGAGAGGGGAGAGGGGAGAGGGGAGAGGGGAGAGGGGAGAGGGGAGAGGGGAGGAGAAGAGAAGAGAGAGAGATGGGGAAGAAAATAAGACCACTGAGAAATGCTTCCAGATGGACCTAATATACTACAGGAGGTTAGGTCTTTCAGAGCTGTCATTAAAATAGCTAATAATAATAAAGCCTAATATTTTCATTACACCACCTTTTAGAGATAACTCAGGGACGTTAAGTCACTTCCTGGAGGTAACCGGCAAGCAAGTGGTAGAACTTGACTTGGAGGCCAAGCAAGTGAGGCTGCAGCCTGAGAACTCAGCCATCCTTGTCCCTTCTCCCTCTCTCGTCCTTTTCCACCCATCCGGGTATCACAAAACATCTGCTGGGGTGGGGGGGGGAGCAGGAGGGGCTGGCCCAAGGTGAGGCAGGCTCTGGAGCTCCCATCGCCAGATCGTTCTGAAACAACAAATGACCCTAGGGACTTAGGGAGCAATTCAGCAGTGGAGGCCTCTGGAATGCAGTGATCTGCCTGTTGCTCTGTCTAAGGTCACTCAAGCACCGCCTTCCAGGAGGCCCAGCCAAAGCAGCGGTTCCCACCTAGAGCCTTGGAGGACAAAGGGCTAGCCCGTGACCAAGCCCTGGCACATACACCTACCTGGCAGAACCTTCCTGCTGCCGGCTACCTGCGGGCCTGCGGCAGTGCAGTGCTGCCATCTTTTGGCCGCACGCTGCACTGCATCCGCACCCGCCTGGCTCAGTGGACCTGGCTGAAGACGGGGCCCCAGGCACTCCAGCTGCCCATTCTCCCGTGCCGCAGCGTCTCAGCCTGGAGAGGGTCTACCCAGCAAGCCCTGGCAGGGCAGCCTATCCATCAAATGTGGCCCAAGATGCCAGAGCAGTCCCGCAGCCACAGAGGGGCCTTGCTGCCCTTGCAAAGGGACTGTGGGCCATGACCCCAAGGGACCCCGGGCTGGCTGGGGTCTCCCACTCCATCCCGGGGTGTGTGCAAGGAAGCAGAGTAGAGACCAAAAAAATAGTGGGTGAGTGAGAGACGGCTCATCTCCAGGGACCTCAGCAGACAGTTTGCTGCCTGCTTCTGCATGAGCTGAGATTCCCAAGATGCCAGGAGCAGTTGTCTCTGAGAGGCAGAATTATGGGTGATGAAAATGATTTTGTTACCTTGACCATTTCATTGTGATTATTCTTTTTTCTTTTTTCTTAATGCTTAATTAGAATTTCACATTTTTCTACAACGCCCAAGTCTCAGGAAATAATTTGTTTATAAACTTGTCTGAAAGTAAATTTGCTTTTAAATAAACACATAATTCTAGAGCAGAAAAGGCCCCTTTCTTTCACAGTTGAGGAAAATAAGCTCAGAGATAGGCGACTTCCCTGCCCAGGGTCACACCACTAGTTTGCGGCCAAGATGGACTAGAACTTCCCTCTCAAGACAGCGTCTTTCTCCTTTGAGAATGAGCTGAGCCATGGCCAGGCACAGTGGCTCACATCTGTAATACTAGCACTTTGGGAGGCCGAGGTGGGTGGATCATGAGGTCAGGAGTTCAAAACCAGCCGGACCAACATGTCTCTACTAAAAATACAAAAAATTAGCAGGGTGTGGTGGCGCACGCCTATAATCCTAGCTACTCAGGAGGCTGAGGCAGGAGAATCACTTGAACCCAGGAAGCAGAGGTTGCAGTCAGCCAATATAGTGCCTCTGCACTCCAACCTGGGCAACAAGAACAAGATTCCATCAAAAAAAAAAAAAAAGTGATCTGGGCCTTTCCCTGACCCTCTAGCTAGGGAAAGGTCCCCTCTTTGTCACCCATGGTATCTGTTTTTCTGTTTACTCCCTGTCTCTTTTATGCAAGCTTCATAGGGGCGGGAACTTTAGCCATTTTGTTCACTAAGATATTTCCTGTGTCCATTATAGTACCTGGCATGTGGCAGACACTCCATAAATACACATTAAATCAAGGCATGGAATTAGTCAGGGAAGGCTCCCTGGAGGAGGTGAGTCATATATCCATTTCTGAAAAAGCGCTTCTAACAGATCAACAGAGAAGATGAGAAGCATTCCTAGGAGCTGCAGAATGGCCTAGACCTGGCACACAGTAACTACGTGTTCCCAAATACTTGCAGGGGAGGGGAGAATACAGAGTGGTACAGATTGCCCCCTATACCTGTAGGGGTCTGAGCTAGGATCTCATCCCTGACCCTGATTCCTTACCTTGTCTTGGGAATCTGGGAAGGAGCCAAAAAGAATCCATCTAAGGGGCCAGGAAAGACACTCAGAACTGAAGCCTCCCTCAGCCTAACTGGATCTGACAAGGTCTGGCTGGGCCTGGTTGGACCCGACCATCCTGGGTGGACAGATGGGGCCTGGCTGAGCTGGGAACCCACTTCTTACTCCCGTATTTAGGAGACTCTAGTACCTGTCATGCCAGCCTGATCTCCAGAGTTCTAATCTAGAGACATAAGGGG